AGGAGGGACGAACAAAAAATTTCAAGTCGATAGGCCTAACGTATTATCTTAAAGTACAATAGGGGGCTCTCGTGCTCGAGAGGTTACGTGTTCACCTCTCATTCAATAGGTCCCGCGTTCGAATCTGGAAAGCGACGGAAAATGTTAATCTCTAAAATGTTCTCCTTTCACCTCTATTCATGCTTTCTAACAATTCTATGTCATCTGCTTTCGTCTACACTTTCTGCCCCCACCCCCTCACCTCTATTGTCCCCTCCTCTGGGCTATTGACTCTTTCTGCAGTCCTTCTGCTGCTACTCCTTGGCTTCTTCTTACTTCTGTCTTTCAGCCACACTCCTGATCTTATAGAAAGTAAAATCTAACACCTAGCCTTCTCGGATAATGGCGAAAAATCTCGGAAGTCCCGTGTGTAAGTTGTGCATGTTAAAGATCCCTTGATGGTCCAAAATCGATAAGAATAGGCTTTGGCCTACACCTGGCCAAATTCAAAATTTCCTTCCAACTGAAAATGTTTAATGTTTCCGCGCGCTCATATCACCTTATAATGCAGTTACGAGCGTCGTAAAATACGTACCAAAAAAGGTATGATTGGTCTTATCTTCTCAATCTTTGATAACAGCAGTTCAGAACATCAGCATTGAGCCGTTCTTCAGAACATGGGCGTCTCTATTACTCCAAGAAACCTTGCAGCGCGTTCTCTGGCATAGCTCTTACAAATGACAAGCATGTGAGAAGAGGAAAAACGTACGGGATGAAGTTGTATAAGCACTAAGCTTTAATGTCGAGTAACGGTCAAGAGCTTGAGACTCTTGGTGTTGCCTGTACATTCTACATCAAGTGTGCAGTGTCAGCGATAAAATCTGGTGCGCAATTATTGATTGGTCGACTACTTAAATGCAATCAATCAATTCGCACTTTGTACGTTACTGGCCAAACTTTCATGCGATTAGTTAGTATGATGATATTTTTATACGTTTCTATATCATTTTAGAACCACTAAAAACTTTGGATTTGTTTTTGTGTTTTGAAATAGACTGAAAGTTTACTGTAATAATAATATTATTATAATAAAATAAGGATATTTGCCTCCCTTAAATACGACCCAGAAAAATATGAGTTACTTCCCTTGAATAAAGGAATTGAGAAAGATTTCTGTGCCTGCCTGATGGGGAAACGGACCAGAACAAAGATGTCCACATTAA